CAGGCTTCAACAGTACATGAACCATGAACTTGCAGATGTTCAAGCTGATTTTAGAAAAGGCAGAGGAACCAGAGATCAAATTGCCAACATCGGCTGGATCATTGAAAAAGNTTTTGAACTGTGGTGTTGGAAAGGCTCTTGAGAGTCCGTTGGACTACAAGGAGATCCAACTAGTCTATCCTAAAGGAAACCAGTCCTGAATATTCATTGGAAGGACCGATGCTGAAGCTGAAACTCCAATCCTTTGGCCACCTGATGTGAAGAGCTGACTCACTGGAAAAGACCGTGATGCTGGGAAAGATTGAAGGTGGGAGGAGAAGGGGACGACAGAGGATGAGATGATTGGATGGCATCACTGACTTAATGGACATGAGTTTGAGTAAACTCTGGGAGTTGGTAATGGACAGGGAGGCCTGACGTGCTCCAGTCTATGGGGCTGCAAAGAGTCAGACAGACTGAGTGACTGAACTGAACTGATACTATGTTGAGTTCCTTATCTCTGAATGTGTTTAAGTAGAAACAGGATCATGGGGTTGTAACTAAAGAAATTCCTTCCTTAGACCAAATGACCTCCAAAGACCCTCACACATCTCAGTTTCTGGTTTCATTTACTTTCCAAAGCATGTTGACACTGTATCTTTTTTTTTTCTTTCTGTGTTTCTATTATCTGTTCCTACTGCTGAGCTCAGACTTAACCAGTGCCACAGTTTGGATTGTGTAGTAACCTGTTAATTGGTCATCCTATCTTCCTTTTGTCTTCTAATTAATTTCAATAACTTTTTGAGCTATAATTTACATACTATTAAGTTCACCTGTTTAAATAATGTAATTCAGTGGGTTTTTTTTTCCTTTTAGTATATTTACAGGATTGTACTAGCATCACATCATGGTCTAATTTTAGATCATTTTCATTACCCTGAAAATAAACCTCACACCCATGTCACTCCCCATTCCCCCCTAACCATCAGCCCTACCCCTAGGTAACCACTCTCAGTTACCTTCTTATGTAAAACATGGCTTTGCTTGTGTTGCTTTCCAACTGGGTCCTCCTTGTCCATATGATTAAGAAAATGTTTCTCACCCGAGGTTTAAATTTTTCCATGCTCTGACTTCAACTTATTTTTCCAACTTTGACTTAAACGCTTGCACAGTCTGAATGTACAGTTATTGCTAGGTCCACTTACCTTTTGTTCTTGAGAGTGAGAACAGGTGCCTTATACCTGTTTTTTGGTTTCCAGCATTCAACTATCTGAATCTGTCCATGCTTTGAGACCTAACTTGAGTGCTCCCTTCTCTATGAGTCCTTCCCTGGGTTATTCTTCCTAAAATGAAGTTCTCATTTGAACGTGAACTTCCGTAGCACCTAGTATTATAAAACCTTCTTTTGGTGTTTTATTGTATGCTATCACGTGGGACCTCTTCTCTTGTGTTGTTCAGCTTTTTGTGTGTGTATGTTGATGATAAACTTCTTGAGGGCAGGGACTGTGACCACTTTTCCCTTACCCCCTCTGTAGCTTAGCTGAGCATATGGATGAGCACAGAAACAGTATGTAAGTGTAATGGAGTGAATAGTGTTGGCATTGAGCAAAATGCTGAATTTGGACTCTGTGACAGATAGAGATTTCAAAGTCTTAATAGACACATCCACTTTTATATGGTTTTGCTTTGTCTAGAGCTTGATACCACATTCTTTCATTAATCATTCAGTGAATGCTATTGGTATTGTACTCTTTATTCATTTCTCATAACCCATTCTTAATTTTCTTATTGCTATCATGCATCTGAATTCTCTGATCACTTTCAGCTCTGCATTTAGGACTTTCTTATGGTAGGTTAGTACATTACCACAGCTTTTGTGGACCAGTGTGGTCTGTTATATACTTTATGCAACTTTATTTCTGTAGGTTGGTACCTAACCTCAGTCTCTATAGTCCCATTATTATATATTTCATGGTATGTCACAGCCTGAAAATATCATGTTTTGAGAAGTTGCAGGATGATAAGCACTATGGGAGACAGTTGCATTCCTCAAGTCACCTCATGGCTTGATTGCAAAGGTTGAATACTACTCTTGGTTTGAAACCACAGCAAGAACATTAATATGTTCTAAGTGTCAGAAGTTATACAGAAATGGACAGGACAGGCATCTGGATCCTCAGGGAGTTCATGGTCTCATGGCAGAGACCAACTTAAATACCTAAATAGTTATGACAGTGTTGTATTATAGCACAGAAGTGGGTGCTCAGGATTGTAGCAGCCCAGAAGAAGGCTTGATTTCTTTGCCACAGCGTAATTATGGTTTGGGAGTTGGAGGAGCCCCTGTAAGCCCTTTGAGGACAGGATGTATCTTAGCTGTTTTTTTATCCAAGCACCTAGCAGAGCCCCTGGCATATGGAAGGTGATGAATAAATGATAAATGAGTAAGCCACCTATTCTGTGCTATCTAGCATGGTGGCTACCAGCCACATGTGACTGTTGAGTATTTGGAATGTGACCAGTTGAAATTGAGGTGTCCTGTGTGAAGTGCTCTCCAGATTTTGTAGACCTATTTAAGAAAAAGGAATATAAACTATCATAATTTATCTGAATATATGTTGAAATGCTATTTATTTGATATATTAGGTTAAATAAAATATATGATCAAAATTATCTTGTCTACTTTTTGAAAATATGACTACTAGAAAATAAGAGATTATGTCTTGTGTTACACATCCTTTTTATTATCAGCATTTTGTTTGGTTTATTAAAAAATTATTTATTTGTTTTGGCTACGCTAGTCTTCATTGCTCCTCATGGGCTTCCTCTGGTTGTGGTGGGCTGGCTGCTCACTGCAGTGGCTTCTCTCGTTTCGGAGCACTGGCTCTGGGGTGCGCAGGCATCAGTAGTTGTGGTGCTCACCTCTGCATGTGGAATATTCCTGAACCAGGGATCGAACATATGCATTGGCAAGTGGATTCTTAACACTGGACCACCAGGGAAGACCACTGTATTATACTACTGATAGACTTTGCTGGTCTCATTCAGCTCTCTTAGAAGAAATTATTTGATTTAAGGTTACACAAAATAGCAGAGATACCCTTAAAATTGAGATCTTCTCTGTTGGATTTCTCCTTAGTTTAGTTCTCTTTCTATGCATAAATTTGCACATTGTAAATACATAAAATTTGAGGTAAAGTGGCATGAATTTGGTCTTGTTAAGGATGACAGACCCTCTTGGCTGTAGTTAAACTATCTTTGAACTTAATAATCATTAAGATTAATAGTCAAAAAGATTCTCCTTTCATGTGTAAATTTTGATCTCCAGAAAAACCTGCATTTTCAGTTCTCAGTTTTTTCACACTTGGTACACCTGTTCCCAGTTCTCCCTTCCTTATTGGTATCTATATATACACATAGTCTTTTATTGCATTTCTTCTTAGTTTGTTTCTATTAATAATTATTCAGATTATATTAACACTGTGTGTGTATTTGGGGGAGATAAGTCTTGGCTGATGCATGATGTGTTACATAGAGAGCTGGTGGGTTTAGTGGCCTGTACATGCATTAATTATCTCACATAATACAGTTGTGAAAACTCAGGCTTAGAGAGGGTGTATGCTCAAGGTCACATGAGATTGTTATTAGTAAGAATCTGTAATTCATAGAATAATACACAGAATCTGTAAGCTGGAATTTTATAAAATGGCAGGAAGCTTGAGAGTTTTTCCTATACATGGACAGGCCTGTAAACATTGGGGAACTCTGGATTCATAGAGCTGAGGACTAATGTATTAGGTAAATGCCATAAAAAAAGTAAAAAAAAAAAAATTCATTCTAGCTTGTGCAAATATGTACATGAGTATGTGCATATGTAAGTGTATGGAGGTAATGAAGGACAGGGAAGCCTGGCATGCTGCAGTTCGTGGGGTCACAAAGAGTCTAACACGACTTAGCGACTAAACGACAAGTATATGGGAAAAAGAGACATAGGATTAGAGAATGAATTAATGAAAGAATATCGTTGCTTTTGAAGACTAGATCCCCATGCCTTCTTCTTTCCTGCCCTTTTCTAAATTTGCTTCCTGACTCTTCCCGTTTTTGGTAGTGGAATTACTTACCACCCTTCTGTTTTCTTCAGCCCAACCCAGTTCAGTTCAAGTCAGTATACCTAAGTCCAAACAGATACTCATTAACATGTTTACAGTGGTTTTCTTTGGATAGAGAGATTTGGGGTGGTTTTAAATTTCTTTTTTATTTGTCCTCTATATCATTTGAATTTTTTTTTTTTTTTTTTTTTCATGTTGCTTTTTTTTTTTTCATTTATTTTTATTAGTTGGAGGCTAATTACTTTACAATATTGTAGTGGTTGCTTTCAAGTTTTGACAACTAGGAATAAAGCTTCTGTAGACATCTTTGTGCAGCTTTTTGATTTTTTTTTTTTTTTTTTTTACAGAAACATATACTAAGAAAAGCAATTTAAAAAGAACAGAAAACTGTTTTCACTTGGGAAAAAATCAATATGCTTGATAGTTTTCATGCCAAAGTAAACCTTTCACCCTGAAATTTCAGAATCTCACACTTGTTCTCTGCCTTACCAGTCTCCTTTGGCCTCAGTTTCATAGCCTCAAGGTGAATGGCTACAGTAAGTCAGTTCCCCCAAAGCCAGTGCTACATACCCCACCTCTTTGTCACAGAGGCGTGATTTCTTCTGGAAGTAATATTTATTTTTATAGCAAAGGTGTTGAGTGTTTTGGGTTTTTTTTTCTGATTGTTTTTACACAGCAGTCGCTCACAGTGGTCACATCCTGCAAATATTTTTAAATGCTTCGAATCTAAACAGTCTACCTGCTGTGTTTGTGGCATAATGAGACCTTGGTTCTTGTCCAGCCTCCTATCTGGTAAATTTCCTTCCCAAATTACCCAGCAAGGGGTGAATTTATTTGTTGTCTTAGAGCCTTGAAAAGTCCATGTTTTTCAATTTGCTTTTCATTATTTATTGACCTGGTTTATGTTCTTTTAAGATGCTAGTGATCAAAGGGAAGATGTTTATATTGGAAACCACATGCCTTGCCCTGAAAACCTCAATGGTTACTGCATCCATGGAAAATGTGAATTCATTTATTCTACTCAGAAGGCTTCTTGTAGGTAAGTCAGAGTACCTCCAGATCAGAGGTGAGACCTTTTTTCCATCTTTGGTCACTGCTTTGTAGCAGGCAATGAAATGTGGACTAAAAATATCACTAAAAGGTAGTATTTATTTGCAGTTGAGTTAAAAGAAATTACATAGCAGCATCATTTGGAAAAAGCTGGCAAGTAATATGCAAAAAAACCCCACAGATGTTTATTAGGGTTTTGAGATAGGCTTAACCTTTTTAATATTATGCTATGTATTTTTTAATATAGAACTATACCATAGACCCAACATTATTTTGATTTTTAGGCAGTCTGTCACAGAGTGGTTTGACGGACTAGAGAGTGTTAAGAACTGAGAACGTTCTTAAAATAAACTTTATGGTCAAGTTTCAAATGAAGTTTATAATACATTTCTCAAAATAAGGGGATGGGGACTAGAATCAGGTGTAATATGAGGGATGGAGACAGAAAGGTTGTGATTCAACGTCAACTGTGTGATTCCAGAGAGGTGGTGTAAATAGAGCTGAGACAAAACTAGATCTCGAATTTCCTGATACCCTGTGTTTATGGCATAATGAGACCTTGGTTCTTGTCCAGCCTCCTAGCTGATAAATTTTCTTCACTCATTTCCTTCACCCTCGTGGCCTTAGTGCTTCTGCTATTCTGTGTCTGTGCTGATAACACTTCTTGCTGCTGCTTCTGGGAGCTCGTCTCCCAGCTCAGGTTGGTCTAGATGTCAGGGGAGTGTTTGAAAACACAGGGCGATTGCTCTTATTCTTCTCACTCCTGCCCCCTGCAGTGTGACCAGTGAATCTTTCTCTCAAGAAGTAAAAGAAAGCTTGTGAATCAAGTCTCTTGGTTTCTCTGTTTCTTTAACTCCATTCCCCTGACTTCTCCCCAGCCCCATTCCCTCTCATTCTCCTGAGAGAATAAAACACTGTAAACTGTTTTTAATGGTTATTAACAGTTCTTTGTTAAGCTTTCAGCTTCCTTCTGTTTGAATGGTTTCCTTGTCTTTGAAGAAGCTAATACCAGCCTCACCCCCCACCCTACCCCTTTGCCTGTACATTAAATATAATAGTAATAATAATACAGCCATGCAAGGGAGAAGAAAATAAAATCATACAGTGGATTCCTTATGCTTGTCTCATAGTGACATACATACCTCAATAGAAGTTCAGATCATGTTATCCTCTGAGCGTGGGGTGTCTTTTAAGATACCTAAAAGGGAGGGATGAGAGAGGTTGATGTCTAAGCCTCATGAACCTATTTGCAGGGCAGCAATGGAGTTGCGGACATAGAGAACAGACCTGTGGACACAGTGGGGGAAGGTGAGGATGGGATGCATTGAGAGAATAGCATGGAAACATACACATTACCATGTGTGAAATAGATAGCACGGGAAGTTTGCTGGGTGACACAGGGAGCTCAACCCAGTGCTCTGTGACAGCCTAGAGGGGTGGGATGGAAAGGGAGACGGGAGGAGGGGTAGAGGGGTTCAGGAGGGAGGGGACGTATGGATACCTGTGGCTGATGCATGTTGGTGTATGGCAGAGGCCAACACGGTATTGTAAAGCAGTTATCCTCCAATTAAAAAAATGATAATGGTACTTATTTCCTGGTGTTGTTAATATATGCAAAGTACTTACCACAGTGCTTGTTACACAATGTGTATTTAATAAATAGCAATGGATATTGAAATTGACAATATTGATATTACTAGGCTATACACACTGTTAGGTTAGGGACTCTGTTTTGCTAACCATTGTCTCCCCAGTGCCTGGCATAGGGCCTCTCCCAGTAGCTACTCAGTGAATATTTTTTGAATGACATGTGATGGTGGCCAGCTTTTCCCTCTTCTTCAGACCAGAAGTGTTTCTTAAATGCTAAAGAATCTCTTTTCTGCATATTGTAACTCCAAAGAGCAGTTGATCTTTGTCTTTTGTCTAAGCATCTACAGTGTCCACAAGAACCAGGCCTTGGCATCACATGGATTTCTACTGGTAGGTGTATTTGTTTAGTAGCAGTCAACAGGCAGGGATGAACACCCTTTAGCCACAGTCCTGTTATTAGGTTAAAACCTTTTATCATTATATCACCATTACTTTGTTTGTTTATTGCGTTTGTTGTTGTTCAGTCACTACTCCGTGTCTGACCCTGCCTACTTTGTACCAAATCCTACATGGCCCTGGGGTCTCAAGTTCAAATATGACAGAGATCCAGCCTTCAAAAAAACCTACAGTCTGGTGGCAGCAACTGACAAATAATAATTTAAATGTAATACTATATGAAAAATGCTATCATACATTGACATACATGAGATGATTTGAGACTTCAAGAAAGCTCTTCAACCTTAAGTGGGAGGAGGGGCAGGTCTTATGGGGACATTTGTGCCATACCAAGAGATTGTCCTTTAACTAACTAATTAATTAATTTGGCCACACTGCATGGCCTGTGAGATCTTAGTTCCCCAACCAGAGATGGGACCCAGGCCCATACAGAAGGCGCAGAGTCCTAACCACTGGACCTCCAGGGAATCCCCATGTCCTTTATTTTAAAGACAGAAACCATTTAAGGAATTAAATGAGAAAGATATGGGCAGATCTGAAAGCCATCCAGGTAGCTAGGTGAAAAACGGATTAGAAGACTGAAGGTTAGGGGCCTGTTAGTGAGGAGCGAGAGCCTGAACCAGGTGAAGGTCTTACAGTGGGACTGAGATGAGGACTGAGTTGTAGAGAGAATAGGTGTTGACTCCAGAGGTTTTGGTGACTGGTTGGGTATGAGGATGGGAATGCGGGGAGTTGGTGGAGGGTCATGGGAAGGAAGAGTCAAGAGAGTCTGCTGGGTTTCTAGCTGATGCAGAATTGAGGAGGGAAAGGAAATAGGGGGAGGGGAATGGAGGTTGGGGGGTCATGATGTACTCAGCTTAATAATGCTTGATCTCAAGTGTCTTTGGGGCATCCACTTATCTAGTAGGCTCCTGGGTATCTGTGGTTTTGGAACTCATGAGACAGGTGCACGTTGAAGATGTGTTTGGGAATGATTCCATCTTTAGCATTGTTGTTGTTCAGTCGCTTAGTCGTGTCCGACTCTTTGCGACCCCATGGACTGCAGCATGCCAGGCTTCCCTGTCCTTCACCATCTCCCAGAGCTTGCTCAAACTCTCGTGTCCATTGAGTTGGTGATGCCATCCAACTGTCTCATCCTCTGTCATCCCCTTCTCCTGCCTTCAGTCTTTCCCAGCATCAGGGTCTTTTCTAGTGAGTCAGCTCTTCTCATCAGGTGGCCAGCATATTGGAGCGTCAGCTTCAGCATCAGTCCCTCCAGTGAATATTCAGGATTGATTTCCTTTAGGACTGACTGGTTTGATCTCCTTGCAGTTCAAGGGAATCTCAAGAGCCTTCCTCAACACCAGAGTTCAGGAGCATCATTTCTTTGGCGCTCAGCCTTCTTTATGGTCCAACTCTCATCCGTACATGACTGCTGGAAGAAACCATAGCTTTGACTATATGGGCCTTTGTTGTCAGAGGTCTTTAGCGTATCCCATCTAATTCCTACAGCAGTCCTTCCACCCACTGGGCCTCCAGTTGATTAATCTCTCACCTTTTCAGTGCATATTCTCATTGCCTCCTTACTCAGCTTAATTCCATGGTCAATCCTTGTAGTCCCTCCCTTGCTTCATCATACACGCACTTGACACAACTATAATCCTGGTTCGTTCCAGCCTCCCGCCTGCTGCATACCTACACCCACCAGGCTTTAACTGGTCTTCTGCACCTTTATACAAAGTGGGCCCTGCATGCTGCCGGCAGTCACTCTATAACTGCGGTCCTTCATCCTCCTCTCCTAGATAAAATGACTGCTTTTACCATCCATCCACCCTCTCTTCAGACTGTCAACACCTCCTCTCATCATCAGTCTGTCAATGATCTTGTTTTTAAGTTCAATGAGAAAACTGAAGGAGTATGAAGAGAACATTCACAGGCTTTTTACTATCACTGCCAGCAATGCTTCCCAGTTTTCTTCTAACCATATATTGTTTTATTCATATATTTTTATACATTTATAAGTTACTTTTTATTTCTTTTATCTTGAAAGGTATTTCTCATTGTCATGTCTATCAGCTACGGTCCCATTTCTGTCCTTTCCTTTGTAGAAGACCTGGAAATAGTTGTCTGTAGTCTGTCTGCAGTTTCTCACTTCCTGTCTCATGAATTCACCCCAGTGAGCTTTTGCGCCCCAGCACTTCACTGAGACTGTTCTTGTTGCTAAATTCATCAGTCAGTTTCTCAGTCTCAAATGACTTTTGAATGATCAGTGGCGTCCAGCCTCCTGCGTGACATTCTTCACTTGGTTAAGGGATTACACTCTCCTCGTTTTCCCCTTCCTCACTGGCTGCTTCTCTGTCAGCCCTCTTGCCTGGCCCCTCTTTTGCGTCCCGGTCTCTCAGTGTTGGCGTGCTGCCAGAGTCCGCCCTGGTCCTCTTCCTCAGCGACTGCGGCCAGCATCAGGGCTTCGCCTGATGTATGCTGATGACCCCCAGGCCACTCTCTCAATTTGGGATTCTCCCTCACTGCCCTCTTTCACACGAGTATCTGGCACCTTAAGCTCAATAGAACCTAAGCTGATCTCCGGATCTGCCCTCCCTCTCCTAAACCTGTTCTGCCTCTACCTTCTCCATCTCAGTTGATGCTGACGCCATCTTCTCTTTGGTTTAGACAAAACACCTCTGATATGACTTTGACTTGTCTCTCTGTCATACTCCACATTTAGTCATTTCAGGTGTCCTGTTAGCTCCATTTCAGAATATATCCAGCATCTGATTACTTCGCATTGTCACTGCTACTCCTAGTCCAGGCACCATTTTCCCCTCTGGCATTATGCATTAGCCTTCCTGATTGTATCCTAAATAGTCCATATTCATTTCAGCACAGCAGCCAGAGGAAGACTTTAAAATAAAGGTCAGCTCTTGTCTTCCCTTCGCTGATGCCCTTCCGGCGGCTCCTCCGTCTCCTGAGTGAGGAGCCCTTGGCAGGCGGGCCCCTTCACGTCTCTGTGTCAGTCCTGTCCTTCCCTTTGGCTGGCCCGTTCCAGCCACACTGGCTTGGACACAGCGTGCACTCATGCACACACCTCAGGGCCTTTGCACTGGCTCTTCTTTTGCCTGTTATGCTCTCCTCGCACTTGTCCACACAGCAGACTCCCTGGCCCCCTTCACATCTTTACTCACTTGTCTCTTCCTGAAGCTTGCCTTGACCATCTTCCTTAAAGTTGCAGGGCTCCCTTCCTGGCCCATATCTGGCACTAATAATACCCCTTAATTCTTTCTCTTTGTTCTCTTTTAATTCTGCCTTCTAACATAACCGTTTAATTTGCTTATCGTGTTTATTGACCCTCCCTTCCCTACTAGAGGATAAACAAGCCAGGGGTCTTTGTTCCTGATGTATTCCTAATGCCCACCTCAGTACTTGGCACATGTACTCAGTAAGTAGGTTGAATGTATGAGTGAATGAGTCAGCCCATGAGGCTGTGGGCATGATGAGATTACCATGGAGGGTGTGGACATGAAAGAACAGGCAAGAGAGAACCAGATGCCTGGATGTGCCTTTAATCAGCCACAAAGGAAGTAGTGCTAACCTGGAATTTAATACTGCAGGTATTTGGAGAGTATAACCCAATAGTCAGGTGCAGGAATGGTGTCCAGGGGGAACTGCATGAGTGAAACATGGTCTATACATTCTTTTTGATACTCGGATCTTTAATTTTTGAATTAAGCTTAATTGTCAACTGTGTATCTAGGACATTGTTATAGCTCCCTGTGGAACTATTTTTATTTCACTGAGCTTTGACTTTGGGCTGTTAGCCTGCCATGAAGTATATTCTTTTAAAAAATCCTATGAGACTTCATTATATTGTTGAATTTATTACAGCTGTATTGTTGAGGATGATGCTCTCTGGATGAGAAAGTACCCTTTCTGGGGGTGGGGGGCCAGGCTGTGTCACTTGTGGGATTCTTAGTTTCCCGACCAGGGGTTGAACTCAGGCCAGCGAAAGCCCCAAGTCTTAACTACTGGACTGCAAGGAAATTCCCGGAAAGTACCCTTTTTATACGAGGACTTAGGAGATAAAGTTCCCTTAAATTTAATAAAAATAGCAACTGATTTGTTTTTTAAAAGTGAAATATAGTTGATTTACAGTATTAGTTTCGAGTATACAACATAGTGATTCAGTGTTTTTATAGATTATACTCCACTAAAAGTTGTTACAAAATAATGGCTATAATTCTCTGTGCTCTACAGTATAGTTGTTGCGTGTCTATTTTATATATAGTAGCTTGTCTCTCTTAATCCTATACCCCTATCTTGCTCTTCTTCCCTTCTCTCTCCCCACTGGTAACCACTGTTTGTTTCCTATACCTGTGAATTTGTTTCTTTTTTGCTATATACATTCTTTGTTTTAATTTTTAGATTTCACAAAAAAGTGGTATTATACAGTATTTGTCTGACATTTTGCTACGTGTAATATTCTCTAGGTCCATCTATGTTGCTGCAGATGGCAGAATTTCATTATTTTTTATTGCTGAGGAATATTCCACTGTGTATATGTGTGTTTATCCATTTGTCTGTTAGTGGACACTTGGGTTTCTTCAGTAACTCGGCTATTGTAAATGATGCTGCCCTGAACTTTGGGATGTATGTATCTTTTCAAGTTCGTGTTTTTGTTTTTTCTATATGCCTAGGAGTGGAATTTCTGGGTCATTTGGTAGATCTGTTTTCAGTTTTTTGAGGAATCTTACTGGTTTCCATAGCAACTACACCAGTTTACATTCCAACAGTAGTAGTATCCAAGGGTTCCCTTTTGTCCACATTCTTGCCAGCATTTGTGATTTGTGAACTTTTTGATGATAACCATTCTGACAGCTATGAGGTGATATCTTAGTAAAATGTTGAGCATCTTTTCATTAGCCATCTCTGTATATATTCTTTGAAAAAGAAATGTCTATTCAGGTCTTCTGCCTATTTTTTGTTTGGGTGGTTTTTTACATATTGAGTTACATATGAACTGTTACATATTTTGGATATTAACTGTTTATCGGTAATATCATTTGCAAATATTTTCTTCCATTCAGTAGGTTGTCTTTTTGTTTGGTCTATGGTTTCCTTTGCTGTGCAAAAGATTTTAAGTTTAATTAGATCCCATTTGTTTAGTTCTGCTTTTATTTTTTGCCTTGGGAGACAGATTAAAAAAAATTGGTATTATTTATGTCAAAGCATGTTCTACCTGTGTTCTCTTCTAGGTGTTTCATGGTTTTCAAGTCTTACATTTAATTTTGGTCCATTTTAAGTTTATTTTTGTGTATGGTGTGAAGAAATACTCTGGTCTCATCCTGGTGAATGTGTTTGTCCAGTTACTGTTATTCTTTTGAGCAACCGGCTTGATTTCGTTTTGTGGAGATTGTATTTTATATCAGTGATTTTATCTCTTTTCCTTTTCCCCTCACCTCTCATCTCCTGTCCAACTTTTTTCCTTTATTCAATGGCTTTTAGTATATTCATGGAGTTGTGCAGTCACTACAGTCAGTTTTACATTTCATCACCCTGAGGAAACTATACCCTTTACTCCCAAATCTCCCCATCTTCCTGAGCCTTAGACAGCCACTAATACTCTTTGTCTCTATAGATTTATCTATTCTGGACATTTCATTTCAGTAGATTATATTCATACAGTATGTGGTCTTCTGTGTCTGTCTTTGACTTAGCATACTGTTAAACAATTTATTCATGTTGTGGCGTGTATCAATATTTTGTTCCTTTTTGTGGCTGAACAGTATTTCATTAGATGGGTAATACCACACTTTTTAATCCACTTACCAGTTGAAAAATAATTAGATTGTTTCCACTTTTGGCTATTATGGATCATGGTCCCTTGAATAATTGTTCGCAAGTTTTTGTGTGGACATGTGTTTTCATTTCCACTGGGTAAATGCCTAGGAGTTGCTCAGCCAAATGCTAACTCTGTATTTAACTTTTTGAGGAACTGCCAGAATGTTTTTAAAAGTGGCTGCATCATTTTTATGTTCCCTACAGAATCCTTGCCAACACTTGTCATTTTCTGACTTTCGGATTCCTAGTGGGTATGCTAGACATTTCATTTTATTGTGGTTTTGATTTGCATTTCCATGACAACTAATGATATTAGTGCTTATTTGTCATTTATATATCTTTTTTGGAGAAATGTCTGTTCAGATCATTTGTCTATTTTGTACTTTTTCCCTCTTTTTGTTAATGAGTTGTAATAGTTTTTTATATATTTTAGATAAAAATTTCTTTATCAGATACATACTTTGCAGAAATTTTCTCCTGTGGGTTATCTTTTCACTTTCTTTCTTGATAGTGTCCTTATGTACAAAAGATTTAATTTTGATTTAACCCAGTTTAACTTTGTTATTGTTTGTGCTTTTGATGGTGTATGAAGAAATCACACCTCATCTAAGGTCATGAATATTTACTTTTCTCCCCGCCCAAGAGTTTTATAGTTTTAGTTCTTGCATTTAGACCTGTGATCCATTTGAGTTAATTTTTGTGTATGCTATGAGGAAGAGGTCCAACTCTTATTCTTTTGTATGTGGATGTCCAGTTGTCCCAGCACCATTTGTTGAGAAGACTGTTGTTCTTCTCCCATCAAGTTATCTTAGCTCCTTTTCCAAATATCAGTTGACCATAGATGTAAAGGTGTATTTCTGGGCTCTCAGTTATGTTTATGATCTATGTATCTACCAAACTGCTATTTTTTGTCTGGTAGGAAGCTTAGAACCAGTATGAAACCTCTGGCAGGTGTCTGGGACCCCCAAGGGTCGGATTTGTGGACTCACATCCCTCTGTTTCTGTGCTTTCAGATTTCTATCTTGTTATGCGTATGTGTGTGTTAGTTGTTTAGTCAGATCCGACTATTTGCAGTCCTATGGACTATAGCCCACCAGGTTCTTCTGTCCATGGGATTCTCCAGGCAAGAACACTGGAGTAGGTTGCCGTTCCTTCTCCAGGGGATCTTCCCAGCCCAGGGATTGAACCCGGTTTCCTGCATAGCAGGTGGATTCTTTTTTTTTTCACTGTCTGAGCCACCAGGGAAGCCCCTTGCTATGTGTCTTTTTATTTAAAATTATTTTTCTGTAATGAAATGTGTGACATTAATAAGTACTCTGTCCTTAGACTTCTAATGTTTTATTAATCATTTGTAACCAAAGGCTGGCGAATTTACACATTTCACTTCTGTCCTTGTGTCAACTAAAAAATGTGAGTTTTCTATTAAGTATCTTAAATTTTCTCCCTGTCAAATTATCATCAGCTGATGTTGTTGCCTTTCTATTTACTCTTAATTGGAGTTCAGATAATTTCTAAGATTTGTACTTACTTGCCTGCTTAGCTCTGCTTCTGTCATTAATAACTTATTTTCATCTCTCCCCTTGTGCTTTAAATGATTATATTATGTACACTGAGAAGTGTCCTGAATATAATTTGGTGTTATGTTCAGAGAACTGTAAATGTCTATAAAACTACTTATTCAGTAATCCCACTTCAAGTATCTAGCCTAAGGGATAACACTAAATGTAGAATGCACAGTCATCATAATATCTACCACACCTAACTCATAATTCCGAAAATGGAAAATAACTGATATGTCTAAGAGCAAGGAATAGGTAAGTTTGCTGTATTTTAAGTCACTGATTGGGATATTGTGAATCCATTTTTAAATGGCAGTAACAAAGACTACTTAGCAGCTTTTAAATTAAAGTGATATAATGATAAGTGGAAGAAGCACTTTGTAAAATAGTCGTATCCAAAAGAGTATAAGGAAATACAATAATGACAGTGTGTTTTCAGATGGTGGGAGAGTGCCTGATTTGCTGTTTCTTTTATGTGTTTTCATTTTAAAACCTGGAATTTCTGAAATTTATAAATCTCATAGGAGTCCTTTTTTTTTCTTTTTCCCCCTTTTCAGATGTGAATCTGGTTACACTGGACAGCACTGTGAAAAGACAGACTTTAGTATTCTCTATGTAGTGCCAAGTAGGCAAAAGCTCACTCATGTTCTTATTGCAGCGATTATTGGAGCGGTACAGATTGCCATTATAGTAGCAATTGTCATGTGCATAACCAGGTAGGTAATGGCCTACAGAGTACCAACTTCCAGTTAGAGGTGGGTGGCTGCTAAAGAATCCTGAAGCACTATATGAAGAAATCACACCTCATCTAAGGTCATGAATATTTACTTTTCTCCCCGCCCAAGAGTTTTATAGTTTTAGTTCTTGCATTTAGACCTGTGATCCATTTGAGTTAATTTTTGTGTATGCTATGAGGAAGAGGTCCAACTCTTATTCTTTTGTATGTGGATGTCCAGTTGTCCCAGCACCATTTGTTGAGAAGACTGTTGTTCTTCTCCCATCAAGTTATCTTAGCTCCTTTTCCAAATATCAGTTGACCATAGATGTAAAGGTGTATTTCTGGGCTCTCAGTTATGTTTATGATCTATGTATCTACCAAACTGCTATTTTTTGTCTGGTAGGAAGCTTAGAACCAGTATGAAACCTCTGGCAGGTGTCTGGGACCCCCAAGGGTCGGATTTGTGGACTCACATCCCTCTGTTTCTGTGCTTTCAGATTTCTATCTTGTTATGCGTATGTGTGTGTTAGTTGTTTAGTCAGATCCGACTATTTGCAGTCCTATGGACTATAGCCCACCAGGTTCTTCTGTCCATGGGATTCTCCAGGCAAGAACACTGGAGTAGGTTGCCGTTCCTTCTCCAGGGGATCTTCCCAGCCCAGGGATTGAACCCGGTTTCCTGCATAGCAGGTGGATTCTTTTTTTTTTCACTGTCTGAGCCACCAGGGAAGCCCCTTGCTATGTGTCTTTTTATTTAAAATTATTTTTCTGTAATGAAATGTGTGACATTAATAAGTACTCTATCCTTAGACTTCTAATGTTTTATTAATCATTTGTAACCAAAGGCTGGCGAATTTACACATTTCACTTCTGTCCTTGTGTCAACTAAAAAATGTGAGTTTTCTATTAAGTATCTTAAATTTTCTCCCTGTCAAATTATCATCAGCTGATGTTGTTGCCTTTCTATTTACTCTTAATTGGAGTTCAGATAATTTCTAAGATTTGTACTTACTTGCCTGCTTAGCTCTGCTTCTGTCATTAATAACTTATTTTCATCTCTCCCCTTGTGCTTTAAATGATTATATTATGTACACTGAGAAGTGTCCTGAATATAATTTGGTGTTATGTTCAGAGAACTGTAAATGTCTATAAAACTACTTATTCAGTAATCCCACTTCAAGTATCTAGCCTAAGGGATAACACTAAATGTAGAATGCACAGTCATCATAATATCTACCACACCTAACTCATAATTCCGAAAATGGAAAATAACTGATATGTCTAAGAGCAAGGAATAGGTAAGTTTGCTGTATTTTAAGTCACTGATTGGGATATTGTGAATCCATTTTTAAATGGCAGTAACAAAGACTACTTAGCAGCTTTTAAATTAAAGTGATATAATGATAAGTGGAAGAAGCACTTTGTAAAATAGTCGTATCCAAAAGAGTATAAGGAAATACAATAATGACAGTGTGTTTTCAGATGGTGGGAGAGTGCCTGATTTGCTGTTTCTTTTATGTGTTTTCATTTTAAAACCTGGAATTTCTGAAATTTATAAATCTCATAGGAGTCCTTTTTTTTCTTTTTCCCCCTTTTCAGATGTGAATCTGGTTACACTGGACAGCACTGTGAAAAGACAGACTTTAGTATTCTCTATGTAGTGCCAAGTAGGCAAAAGCTCACTCATGTTCTTATTGCAGCGATTATTGGAGCGGTACAGATTGCCATTATAGTAGCAATTGTCATGTGCATAACCAGGTAGGTAATGGCCTACAGAGTACCAACTTCCAGTTAGAGGTGGGTGGCTGCTAAAGAATCCTGAAGCACTCAAGATAATGGGGACTTGACATCTATCAGTATACTAGGAAGAAATCCTAGAATTAGTTCTCTAAGATATCCATGTAGGTCTGACCTCTCCCCATCGTGCTGCTTTAGAATTTGGTCAAGAACTCATTCCCAGGGTTACAGGCACATCTAGGCTCAGGCAGAGGAAGCCTGAGTGTATTTAGTGGCATAAAGGAATTTTGAGATCTTAGAACTATGTGTCCACTTAAACATTGCCTTCAGGGACAATGATGGTAGCAGGATGGTCTGCACATGCATTGAAGAGCCAGGCAGGAACTTTCTAAGTCCTGCAGAACTGATTGGGTCTTGTGCCCTAAGAATATACTTTATCCATAGTAAATACAAGAAGGAAAGAAATCAGAGGTTAAAGAAAACGGCTTTTTTTAAATGTGTTGTCTTAGCATTACTTCATTTTCTGGAATACAGTCATGAGTAGTAAACTTTAAAATACTCTAACTAAAACCATTGGGAGTTTATCATAACTGAACCCCAAAGTAAAGGGCATACTTGGAGTGCAGTTGGCCTAAAAAGAGGTGTTTTCCAGGCTGAGTGGAAATATGTAAGTCAGAACTGAACTGGACCTTGGAGAACTCAAAGAAGATTAAGTTTTCATCTTGTTCATCTTTATGCTTCTGAGTCTCAGGTCTTTTCTTCTCACTTACCTCTTCCTACCTCCTTTCAGTTTGGTTCAGACTCCCATAAACAACATCTCTATACATTTCTGCATTATTCTGGGCTGAGGGTTGGACTATATCAAGTGCAGATATTGGCAGGCCATAATGGATTTGTGGCTCTTCTATCTGAAGTCTGGGGAGAAGCCAGACCTTCTGTGCTCTTAGCCATCTGGAGCTAAAATGATGAATCTAGAAATGATGAAAAACTCTTTTCTGAATAACATATTTTTCATAAATTACAAGTGCTAAAAGCCAGTGGACTTTATTCTATAGAACAGATGATCTGCCCTTAGGCAAGACTACTGAATATGAAATTGGGCAGTAGATTAAAGTAGGGACATAATGTTATAAAAAAATAATGACAGCAGAAAGAGAATATAGAAAAAATAGACCCACCATGTAACAGCAGGGCTGCCTGTGGCTGTTTAACATGGGCTCAGAGGTGAAGCAGTTTGCCTGTGATCCTCCAGCTAGTAAGTGAAAGGGTCTGGATTTGGATTCAGTGCTGCCTGATTGCTAAACCATTCCTCTTGCCGCTGAACCACCAAGAGGAGGGGGGTCCATGTTAAGTCATCTTGGGAAATACATTTGCTAAGTATGATCCTCCTGTGGGAGTGCGATTCAGACTTGATTTTGTAGCAGTTCGGGGTTTTGCATCAGGGGCCGGACTTGGTGTGAATCATTTTCCCAGAGCATTAGTTCTGTGTGTCATCTGAAAAATTTATTGGAGAGAAAATGTGAGGTTTTGGAAGGCCATTTAGGATGTTATTAGAGTAAAGCAGGAGTGGAATAAAAGATGATTTGGAAGGTGAATGAAAGAAATAAGGTAATAAGATAAAGGCAAGGGAAGATTTTGAGGCCCAGTGATTTTCAGTTCCTTAAAGATTGAAGGACATTAGGGTCAGCAAGAAGTTACTTTGTATTCAACCCCTTCATTCTAGAGAAGTGAGGAAATTGGNTGTGGGGTCACACAGAGTCAGACACGACTGAAGTGACTTAGCAGCAGCAGCAGTTTATATCCCAAGTCCATTTGCTGCCTTCACAGACACATAGGCGTTGCCTTATATTTACTTTTAACTGTTACAGTGTCCTCACTACCCTCTGTCTCTATGTCTGAAGGGTCGTCTCGTTGAATTTATCATAGATCTCTTCCTGAGGCCTTTTTATTATGGCATTTTCACCCCTAGAATGTCTTGCTCCCTTGGCTTGAGGATATTATAATTATGCACATGGGCTGACCTGCACTGCATTTTTAAGGAGTGCCTCTCCCACACAGTCCATTGCGACAGCTGTTCACTTATCCTGTGGTGACTGTTACATGTGAGGAATCTTCCTTTAAAGGGATGTTCCCACTGACACATTTATGAAGACTGCAAGAGTGACATGTTCTTCTCTTACGCTTGGCATCTTCTTTCATGTTGAATATCACCTTGGCCAAACCCCCTTATTGTGTAGATGAAAAAAACCCCTGGTCTCAGGAACTTGTCTGGTTTTACGGTGAGTTTGTGGCAATTGAAGATTGCCATCCCTCCCAGTCAGCGTTCCCATGTGAGAAATGGAGTTGATTCCAGCCCTGTCTACCTCCAAGTGTTTTTATGAGGATAAGTAAGGTAAAATTTGTGAAAAACAGTATGTAAACTGGAAGTGTTACCATCAAGGCTTTTACATCAAGACAAAGTCGTGCTCTTGGAAAATGGGTAAAAACCTGGAACTTTAGGGTAGAAGTTCTCATTGTCTCAAGACTTTCTTACCATTAGATTATAAAGTTCTTGCTGGAGGAGATTTTAGAGGTTAGTCCAACTCTTAATATTTTGCTTATAGAAAAAGGGGGGTTGCACAGCTAGTTTCTAGCAGAGCCTAAACTCAGAATTACTGGAGCTCATCCAGCCTCCTTTACTCCGCGTTGTGTAGTATGTAGCACTTTGTCCACAGTGAGAGCTGGTCACGTTTACATTCCAGTGGGCAGGCACGTGGCATGACAGGCTTTAACGCATCACAGAGAAACATGCCCAGAACCGCATGAGCAGGCTGAGAAGTAGCTCTTACCCCCTGGTTCTGTCCTGACTTTTGTGGTTTGTCTCAGCAGGGTGTTGAACGACTTCTGAGTTACCATCTAAAATAACTAGGCATTTCCTGTATTTTCTGATTTGAGGTTAATAAGCACATTTCTCCCTGATTTCTCCTTCACCTGAGCTGTCCTTGTCATTTTGAGGGTGTTCTCATGCTTAGAGAAAGTACATGAGCAAGGATCCTTTCTACTGTCGCACGTTTACATGTTACCAGTCACTGTGGTTTGGTAATTGCCAGGCCAGAAGAAGGGTGGCAGTTTCTCTTGGGGATGCACACGCAGTGGGAGACCCTGGGAGTGAGTTTCATTTGTGTTTATACCTGCATTGCATGTCTAATCCTGTCACCTCCCAGCTTTGTAGGAAAGACGGCAGTCTGACATGATGGTCTGTCATCAAGTAGCGTCTGTTTCCCTTTCATGTGATCATATGCTATATGGCTTTATGTGTGGAGTGTGTATTAACCTGGAAACATTTGAAGTATCCTAAACAAAATGACATTTTCCTTTTTTCTTAACAGAAAATGCCCTAAAAATAATAGAGGACGACGACAGAAGCAAAACCTAGGTCATTTTACTTCAGATACGTCATCCAGAATGGTTTGAACTGGTGACTTTTATATGTACACTGACCATGTGATGTACATTTATTATGTCTTTTTTTAAAGAATGGAAATATTTATTTCAGAGGCCTTATTTTTGGACATTTTTAGTGTAGTACTGTTGGCCCGTATTTAGAATATTCAGCTACAACAGTTTTGGACTGTGTAGTAGTCTTTGTTTTATGTTTTTAAATACAGAAATTGATTTCACAAATTTGTACCACATGGTAATTCTAAGACTTGTTCTTTACCCATGGAATGTAATATTTTTGCAAAGATGGACCACTTCACAAATGGTTACAAAGTCATACCCACTTCTTCCACAATGACCACAGCAAATGACCAAGCATGAACTAAAGGTAAAGATGTTTACAGATTACTTTTCTTACAAAAAAAAAAAAAATCTAGAAGACACTGTGTTTAGACATTTCAATGTTTTTGAGATTTATTAACTGATTTTTTAGACACTGCCTATCGCATGAACTATAAAGTTGTGTGTGTTAGATGTAAAATATTTATAAGATGTATGGACTGGAATTTGATCATTTCTCTCTTTGAAAAAATAATTCTGAATTAATTTTTAAAAGTATATGGTAGCAATGATGAAATGGATCACTGAAAAGTAGACTTAGATGTTGTGAAAATAGTCTGTTCAACAAACAGATTGGAATAAAGCCTACTCTATCATTTAAACTACTTTAATACACATTCATTTTTAAAGAGAGTATTTGTTTTAACATAAATAAACCAATGGTATCAGTGTTTGTGAATAAAAAATGCAAAAATGATTGTTAACAATTGGTGCTCTTTGTGTGAGCTTAAAAATCATCTCAGACCTCTCTCCAAATTTGTTCTGTAGTAATAGCTATACTAATAGATTGTTGATGTTTAAAGATCTGAAGTGTGAATAGAATGTGTTCAGCTGTTTAACATGTAGTTTAGGTATTCAGAAGTATGCATGTAGAATTTAAGAATATGTTCAAAATATTAATTTTAATATTTGGTTTGGAAAAGCATGTTATAATATAATGTTTTCACTATATGGCCTCTGTTCTGGTGTGTTTATTTACTGCATTCTTTGATACTGATATATCAGTACATTTAATATGTGAGATTAATGAAAAAAACAGATTTTTGTTCAGAATTCCCATCTGCTTTTTATAAATAATGCTTGAAATTGTCTAAAGGCAAAAGGCTTCACCCATCACTTAAAGTTTGCTTTATTTAGTTATTTGGCTTCTAGGCTTAATATTAGTAACATGGTGGCTTTAGGGAACTTTTCTTTTTAAGAAGCTTCCCTCTTCTACCCACACAGTCTTATTTGAGCCCTTTAGTCAGTCAGTAAGCATGTTTGGAACAGCACCCAGTGCTTTGGGAGGGTTCATATTGCAGAACAGTCATGTATGGGTATTTGTAGTTACAAATACTTGACCAGCCTCCAGGGGCGGGGCTTCCAACCCTTTAAGCAACCCTGTTGCCCGTTATCAAGCTAACTTTTTGCTCTCGGTGCCAGAATTGATTGTGGTAAGACATCTTTCACTGAGAAATAATTAAAATGGAGCATAATGGGTCGGCTTCAAATGCTGATAAAATCCACCAGAATCGCCTGTCGAATGTGACGGAAGATGAAGACCAAGATGCCGCTCTCACCATTGTGACCGTGCTGGACAAAGTCGCTGCCATTGTGGACAGCGTGCAGGCCAGCCAGAAGCGGATAGAGGAGAGACACAGGGTGATGGAGAATGCCATCAAGTCCGTCCAGATTGACCTGCTCAAGTTTTCACAGTCGCACAGCAACACGGGCTATGTCATTAACAAGTTGTTTGAGAAAACCCGGAAGGTCAGTGCTCACATTAAAGACGTGAAGGCCCGGGTGGAGAAGCAACAAACTCACGTTAAAAAAGTTGAAGCTAAGCAAGAAGAAATAATGAAGAAGAACAAATTCCGTGTGGTCATATTCCAGGTAAGCTGTGTGTTTAACTCGATGACTGCAATCTTTTGCATCCTTTAATGGCCAGCATGTCTTATCCGAGTTTCCAGTGTCACATGGTTACTGTTGTATACATGTGTGTGGTGGAGTTCTGTATCAACAGGGATCTCAGGATAAAGCCATTTCTCTGTTAACTGGTGTACTATCTTGTCAGTGTTTTGAGCTTCTCAGCCATTCCATGTAATATGAACTGTGGATCATAGCTGAGTCTATTTCTTGCCTTTGAAACTTAATATTGGTAATCCGCTTTGGGGATATTAGCCATATTAGCCTGGTGCCCTCTCATAGCCTTTAAGAAAGTTAGAACTAGAAGATAGCTAAGAAGCCTCCAGTTTAAAACACCTCTTAGTTGTATGGGGAAAAAAAAGAAACTGAGGACCTGTAGCCCCTCAGTGTGGTTCTTCCCCTTGCTCTGGAGAGCCTGGAAAGCCCTAAACAGTAAAATGTAAACTTCGCAGAAATTAATTTGTCTTTTGAATTTTTTGTATATAATAATGTGTAAGTCACAGTTATAAGCAAAACAGTATTTCTTAATGAGCAATCAGACAGTTATGTTTTTTCTTATAGTTGTACAAGCATAGGAGTCACATAAGTAATTCCTTGTATTTGATTCTAATGTCTCTTAGCTGCTTTTATATGGTAGTTTCCATGTGACATTGTGTAAGTTCCTGTCTTACCCTGCACTTAACCCTCATGTTTTTTGAGATAGGAATGCATTCATGGCAAATGCCTAAAACCTACTATATGTTTTAAAACTCTTACAAATCAAAAGGGAAACGCTTGAACTCTCATGGTAGAAAAATTGGAAAGTCATCATCAGTCAATTCACAGAAGACCAAATAAATGAGCAAAATTCCACTTTCACTTATTTAAATATTTATAGTTATTGAGACATATTCTGAGTTTAAGAATAGGAAATAACACGCACTTTCATTTTCTGCTAGTAGAATATTAATTGGTACATTTCTGGAGGGTAGTTTTGGTAGTATGTGTTAGGAACCTTAAAAATTCACAAACCTTTTGGCCTGAAAATTTCACATCAAAGAACTTGCTGGCTGCGTAAAATCAGGAATGTGTGCAGGGATGTTCACTGGTGCATGTAGTGTTACCATGCTGTATTTTTTAAATGGATGGATGCCCATATGCATAGGGGAAAAGCCTAGAAGAATAAAAACAAATTGAAATAGGAACACAGTTGGATTATGTGGGCGGGTATTTGTAAGATACCAGGGATGTGGGCCATTAATGCCCCAGGAGATTCTTTATACTTTAGTCAGTTCTCTGTAGCCCACTGTTGACTGGTAAGGTTACACTGGCATGGTAAGTGGTATTTTGGATTTGTTGTGAAGAGCCTGTTGGTTATTTAGGAGAAAGAATGAGAAGAGAAGGTTGCTGATTTCAGAGGTAGGCAGGTTGGACTATGCCATCTGAAGGGCTTTGCCATTTCTTCCTGCCTCCCCACCCCGCAAGTCCCTGACAGTTCTTCTCCAGAATTTTTTTGGGAACACACACACACACACACACACACACACACACACACACACCCCTGTCATCTTACTGTCAGAAGCCTTTAGCAGTGTATGTAATGGGTCTAGATTTAGTACAAGAATATAGTCTTCATTCTTAAATTCACTTTTCCAAGGGCATTAACAGTCATGGGTATATCTCATGCTCCACTTGCATGGGGCATGCCAGGAAACATTCTTGGTATCCAGCATTTCTCCTGAGAACCTTTGTGTGAAGAGTAGACCCGGTAACAATCAAGGTTTACAGTGACTTAATAAAACAAGTTTTTGAAAAGTCCTGATTGTCTCTTGTGTGTCTGTTGACATATGATTCTTTTTTTTAAAAGTTGTTTCTATATTTACCTGTTTATTCCCTGAAACTTGCTCTTTTTTTCTTTTCTTTGAGCCCTAGCAGTTACTAAAATGAATAAAAGATGGTATGAAAAAGCAACTGAGAGGCATAATGCTACGAAGAGTCTGTGAAATTAAGTTGAGCAGAGTAAGCAGCCCTTTGTCAATAAGCAGTGGCTATCATGTAATTGAAAGTGCTTGTGAAGAAAAGATACAGGCAACTACCAATGGATTTGGGGATTCTTAGATGTTGGAACACAGCATACAGCATTCATATGCTTCTTCATAGCAGTTAAAATTCTTACAATTTTTTTTGGCTGCTCCGCTTGTGGGATCTCCGTTCTCTGACCAGGCACTGAATCTGTGCCACGGCAGTGAAAGAGCCAAATCTTAACCACTAGACCACCAGAGAATCCCCAAAATTCTTAAAATTTATTCTCATAGTTAATATATGTCTATATATACATAATTATATGTGTGTGTATATATATATGTGTGTGTGTGTGTGTACACACACACACACACACACACACACACACATGTCTTTATTGAGACTGTGCTTCTACTAAAATTAACTTGAAGCTGAGTAATTTAGCTGTAACATGCTTACCTTTCCATTTGGGTTTTTCCTCAAAAAGATTTCACTGGATATATCTTTTGGTGGCAGACTCTATTGGTACTTTATTTCCCACAGTTGTGTACAGTGGAGCTTTTACCTAATCCTGGACATTGGCTTTGAAAAAAGTATCTGTTCTGTATCATACAATTATGATTTCTTTTTGAACATGCTTTCACCTTGGTGACCTTGTCACCAAGAAAGCCAGGAAGGAGGATTATCATACCTTCTAACAATTTTGCTTACTAACCACATGCCTTTGCTTCCCAAATGAGGTATTAGGCCTTTCCCTAATGATAAGTTCCGGACTTGTAAATATTCAGAATTCTCCTAGCTATATTACTTTCATAATCATGGCTACTATACTCTGATTCATAGTACTTGTTTTGTTACAAAAATCATCTTCTTACCTAGAATTTTACATGAAAAGGTGCATAATAATTATACTTGGAAATCAACTATAATTCAACCCTAATTGTTTTCTATTATTATTATAGTGTATTCACCACTAACTCATGATATCTCCGATGCATAGGTGTTACAACAAATAGATTCACTAGATAGATGCTTTCTCTGACTTCACCTCTGTTTTGTTTTTAAGCCTGATGTTGTAGAGTTTGTTGTGCAGTTGAAGAAGGGTTTGTGATTCCTGAGTTTAGCCAGGTCTGATTTCTTTACAGTAGGATTGTGAAGGTTTTTCTCACCAAACAGTAATGATTCTTCAGCTCCGTTCCTAATACCTCCTCAGTCCACACCCACACACTCAGGGCTGCTGAAGCTGCTCCCCGTAGCAGGTGGTCAGGAAAGGAGAGGAATAAAGTTGCAGCTTCTAACTGATTCATCAGAGAGCTATCAGATACCCACCCTTTTTTTTTTTAAGCTCCTAGACTGTCCAATCCTATAGCCAAATAATTAAATTCTAAATAAGTATGCAAAGAAATAAAGTTCTGGGGAAACCTTCTTGACTATCAGGCTGACTGATAGGTTTTGGAATGTATATGAATATATTTCTTACATAGTAAATTTTTTTCATTGAATAGATTTAATCTGGATCTCAAAGTAAGGTTACATTTTTTTTGTTTTGTTTTAGATTTATTTATTCATTTTTTTCTCTTTGGTAGGTCTTCATTGCCACACAGGGCTTTCTTTAGTTGTGGCCAGCGGGGGCTATGGCGAGCTGGGGCTAATCTATAGCTGTACTACGCTAGAAAGTGGCTTTTCTTGTTGCAGAATACAGGCTCTAGTGTGTGTGGGCTCCAGTAGTTGTCACACACACTGGGCTAGGTGTTTGAAACTTGTGGGCTCTAGAGTGTGGGCTGAGTAGTTGTGATGCATGGACTTAGTTGTGGACCGGAGGTTGAACCAGTGTGTCCCCTCCATTACAAGGCGGATTCTTAACCGTTGGACCCCCAGGGAATCCTGGGAGCATGGTTTCTTTTAAAAAAAATTCATGGGTTCAGTTAGAAATCTCATGATCTTTAAAGCTTTTCTGGTTTAGCTTTAAAAGTAGCCTGTAAATAGTGAATTGAGGTCCTTTAGCAGCTGTGTTTTTGGGCTCATTCTCAAGGTTACTAGTGTCT